CTTCGGAACTGGAAACAGCTTTTAACTGAAAAACGTGACTATTGCTTGCCCTTGAAATTCTGCTCAAGGTTGGCTGTTTCTCAGGGCAGATCACGTGCATTCCTGTGGCCGGCTCCAAGGATCACAACTGACCATTCCCCCGGGGAATCAGCCCCCAGGAGCTCCTCACACGGAGCTACAGCCTCTCCTCACAGCATCCCTGTGTCAGAAACCCTTCTGCACCCAGCAGCCAAGGAGGGCTTGCAGAGGGCAGCAGGGCTGGGGCAGGTCAATCATTAACACAGCTAACACAGGCTGCACCAGCCCCATAACGCAGCTCACGCTGCCAGGGCACGGAGGGCACAGGGCTCATCCTCACCGTGCCCTGCTCACAGCCCGACTCAGGCAAGAACAGCAGCGAGCTCTCCTCCTGCTGCCAAGCCTCACTCTGTGCTGCTTCCACACCACCCACCCCTGACAATCCTGACCCCTGTGGTGTTCCACCTGCTCCTGAGCAGCTCTGCGGGCTCTGAGCGCCTGGCCAAGAAAGTGTTTGGAAATAAATCAATGCACTGCTGTTCCAGCTACAGGTCCTTCTTTCAAAAGTTACAGCCAGATGTGAACTTGTAGAACTTGCTGTGTTCATTTTTCAAATATGAACTTGCTGTGTACCACTCATTTTTCAAATATGAACTTGCTATGTACTACTCATTTTCCAAACATTACATGTAACAGATCTTGTTAACACTCATGGGTAAAGAAATATAAAAATGAAGCCTTTTAAATGATTCATCTATCAAGCATGAAAAATGGATTCCAGCAGACAGGTCTGCATCCACTTCAGCTTGTCACAAGGGGGAAATTCTGGAGCCATGTCGACAGTGCAGCCCAAACCTGAGATCTAAACCAGCACTCTGCTTGAGCAGAGGTTTATGTCGAACAAATGACAGAACAACAAAAAGAAATTATTAATAAGTCTTATTACCAGATTTTGAAAGGCCATCAGTTTGCAATACCTGAAGCTAGCTGAAGGTCTGGGCATGGATTGTGCAGCTGTCAGAGCCCTGCAGATGGACCTGGACCTGAGAACAGCAAACCACTGAAGGCTGGGAGCACATCTTGCAGTCACAGCTATGTACTGCTCACTTTCTTCTTCCCTAACCCCTACTACAAACCACTGCTGAAAGCAGTGTATTGGGTCAGAAAACATTTTTATCTTACACTTACTTGTGCTCCAAATAATAAAACCAGTCTGGGATTTGCTCAATTGTCCCATTAATTGTATTAAAAGACAAATTCAAACAGCTTAAAGAAGTTCATTTGGGCCTGGTTAGAGCAATTTAGAAATTAATTTTTAATTTAGACATTAAAATAACCCCCTGAAGTTGAACAAATACAATTGTGGTTGCTGTCTTTGAAAAAGCACATACTTCACACAAGTTCTTTGAGCTGAGAAAACAAGAGGAAGCAGCATTATCTGAAGGCTACATAATCTGCATGTCATCAACCACTTCTTTCTCCAACAACTGTTTAACAGCCTAAACACAGTGCATTAAGAAAAATATCTGGCAGTTACGTTAATGTTGTGTCAATGAACCACAAACACTGATAGGCAGCATTTCTCCCTCCTCCTTACAACGATCTAGGAAAAACCAAAGACATGTTTTGCGTGCTGCCCAGCAGCAGGCAGGAGCTCACACATGAGGAGGTGGGAAATGAGCGTTTCTGCTGGAGGCCATGGCGAGCTCAGCTAAAGCAGGCCAGGGCAGGCTGGGACCCTTTGGACTCTGTGCCACGGGGCTCTGCGGGGCTGGAGGGAGCTGACCCACCTCACACAGGTCAGGTACGACCAAAGAGACACTGAAACCCTCAGCAGGGAAAGAGCAAGGTGCAGCTACCCCTGAAGACTCTGCAGGCCTAGGCCTGCTGGAAACCACAGTGCCTGTGTTCCGCTCTTCATGACTGAGCCAATGCAATGCAATGAAACTGCATCCATCAACCCAAACACTGGGAAACAGGCGAGCAAGCGTTAACACATTATTTCTCCAGATTCCCTTTTCAGAGCATCTCATCCACGTGTCAGGCATCTCCGTTCAATGGTTCATCCTATGAAAGGAAAACCACTTCACAAAATCATTGTATTTTTGGTATTTCAGATAAAGATGTAAGATGGAAGCTGCCCATGGCAGTGGGAATATCCATCTCCTTGGATATGCACCTTTACAAACTGCAGGTCAATTACACACTTCTGATGGTGATGAAACACAGACTAGATCTTCAGTAACTTCTACCTTCATTTCATGTTTAATTATCTTCTTCATTAGAAGAAAATATTTAAGTCTCTAAGCTAATTATTAATTCCACAGGCAGTGAAAATGACATTGATGAACACATGAAGCACTTCAGCAATACTGGCTGATACATATTTCAAAAGCAGCCCACTGCAGCAATGTTTTCAGATGTCAAGTACTAAAGCTGGCTTAAAAATTCCTCTGTTCGGCTGCATTAAACACTTTTAACCCTGTCAATGGGGGGTGTGGCAGGGTGTGGAACTGGTTTCTTCCATTTACAGAAACACAGAACAGGATTAAGTCTGCGGGTACAGAATTATAAATATAAAGCAAATTTGGATCACTACCGGTTGCTTCCTCTATCTGGCACCAGCAGCGAAACCTGGCACATGTTCCCACAGCCTGGAAAGGAAATAACTATACCTGAAAGAAATGACACTGCTTTTTTGGCATGACTCCAAAACATCATTCCTGGTAGAGAAACTGTAATTTAATAATCCTAAAACTTTTCCAATCCTTATTCACCCTTTCAGAGAGAAGGACAAAAGGACTGGCAATTCCATCACTACAGATGGAGTTTCCAAACTGTATTTTGTGATCCAGAGATGAAAGAGCCCCAGACCCGAATGCAGCTCAACACAGCCCAACTTCCACACATCCGTGGAGTACTGGAACTATCACAGGAACTCCTGTCTGCTCTCCATTTCCATTCCTTTTCAGGAAAAAAACAAAACAAGTCCAAAACAAAAACCCTCAAATAGCCTTTTCTTTTACCCAAGCCATATCCTGTTGCAGACAGACGGACGGTGCCTGTCCCCACTCTCCCTGCTTTTTTAGCACACTGTTTCCAAAGCACGAGCAAGGGAAAGGAAAAGAGCGTATAAACAGAGGCAGCTACCATTTTGTAAACACGCGGAAAATGCGGCTGGCAGAGCGCTTTCCTGCCGCATCACGGCCCGGGGGCTCCGGGAGGACAAACCCAGCCCGGGGGCTCCGGGAGGACAAACCCAGCCCGCCGCAGCCCGGGCGGCTCCGGCGCGGGATCACCGGGGAATTCAATGGAATCCGGTGAGTTCAGCGCCGCCCAAGGCGCTCCGCAGCGGCCGGGGGAGCGGGGCAGGGCGCGCTGCGGACATCGCAGAGGGCGGCACTGCGCTGCCGAGCCCCGGCGGATCCCGGCGGCGGGCAAATTCAACGTGCCAGTGATTTTTTCCAAGGAAATCTCACAACATTTGGATTGGCATTACACTGTCAAATAAGCAAAAATTACAGCACACGCCAGCCACTCTTGTGAAGCTTTGTGTATATTCTGTGTCTATGTCGGAGGAAATAAACTACATTTGTATATATCAGCTGCCATGAAATACTTTCCTTGTCAATTCCATTCATTCAGATATAGGTAAAAACATATAATGTATTTATTCTAGAGTATGGGGACAGCAACAAAGATAATAAAAGGAATTTAAATATACTGGATTAAAAAAAATAACAGAGGCCTTATAAATCAGAGCTAACCCATGAACTTGGTATTTATACACACATGCAAAACTCATACGTTCTTTGAAAGTCAGTTTTCAAAAGAGTTTTTTCACTTATGTTTGGACAGAGTTTTGAGATCTTGAAGGACTATTCCAAATGCAAGGCTTACAAAGCAACTTTTGCTTTCATTACTGCGCTCTGGTGAATACAGGTCAGTTGGGACGAAGGATGGAAAATCAGGGTCAGGAGGCACATTGACCACAGCCCGTCGTACCTGAGAGCTGCTCAGTTAAACCCTCTTTTTAAACCACACTGGAGGCAGCTGCACAGTTTATCTAAGTAACTACGTGCCTTTTTTCACTTTGTCTCTCTGCAGAGAGCATCACCGGCTGACAGCGTCTCACAGGATTCTATCAGTGCAGCATCTCACGGGGTTTTGTTGCTGCAGCAGGGTCCCAGAGCCGGGCACCGCGGCTGTGCCACCCACAGCAGGACAGCTCGGCAGTGCCCACGGCGCCCAGGAGCTGCTCCTGCTGCCAGCGCTGGGCCGGGGCCGGCTGCCCGGCCTGCCGGGAGAGGTGCCCCGAGCTGCGGGCAGTGCTGGCCCCTCGCTCTGCGAGGGCCGCGGGTGCTGGATGTGCCCAGCAAACGAGGCCACGAGAGGTGTGGAAGCGCGTCCTTGGAGGAGCGTGAGGGAGGTGAGGGCCTGGAGGAGCGCTGAGGGAGCTGAGGCTTGGAGAAACACTGAGGGAGCTGAGGGCCTGGAGGAGTGTGAGGGAGCTGAGGGCTGGCAGGAGCACTGAGGGAGCTGAGGGCAGGTCAGGGGGCACCTCCTGCTCCCCTCAGCTCCCTGGCACAGGGCACCGTGAGCTGCGGCCAGTGCCTCCTGCCGAGCCTGCAGCGAGCCACCAGAGGAACGGGCCCCAAGGCCACACGCAGCTTGGATATTTGGGAGCGCAGCTTCGCTGTTCGGGCGGTCTGGCGTTGGAAGGGGATGCCCAGAGAGGGGATGGAGTCACCATCCCTGAGGTGCCCACGAGGATGTGGGGCTGTGATGGGGCTTGGGAGGCCGTGCTGGGCGGGCGTTCTGCCCGCTGCCCTGCTAAGTGCCCGGTGCCCGGTTAAGTGCCCGGTGCCCTGCTAAGTGCTCAGTGCCCGGTTAAGTGCCCGCTGCCCGCCGCTCTCCCTCATGGCCGCGGCCCTGCCCCGCCTCCCGCCGCCTCCCGCGCGCCGCGCACCACGTGACGCGCGGCCCCGCCCCCGCCCGCGGCCGCGCGGCGTCGCCGTCCGGGTATTTGAACGGCGCTTCCGCCATTTTCCCTGCGCCGGCACGGAGCGAGGAGCGGGAGAGCCTCGGCAGAGGTACGGGCCGGTATCGGCCCAGCCCGGCCCGGCCCGGCCCGCCGCCATCGCGGCACGCCTGGCCGCTCTGCAAGCGCCATGGGTGGCGGCGGCGGTCACCGTTAGCTCGCGGCTGGGCTGGGCTGGGCTGGGCGGCGGGAGGCTGCGCCTGAGGGAGCGTTGCGGCGGCGGAGCCCGGGCGCGTGGCGGTTTTTCGGCCCCGGCCGCGGGGCGCTGCCAGGGCCGGGCCCGCGCGGCTCCGCGCGCGGTGCCGCCACACGCGGCGGGAGGCGCCGGCCGGGCCCAGCGCGCCCGGGCTGGCGCGGCCCCTTCCGGCGGCGCTCCCCGCGCTCACGCTGCCATTTCCCCGCAGACGCAGCATGGCCGCCCAAGGAGAGCCCCAAGTGCAGTTTAAGGTAAGGCAGCGGCTCGCAGCCCGGGCTCGCGGTGTTTTCCCCCTTCACTAGAAAGGGACTCTCGAGTGTCGACGTGGATGGTGGGTTTGCTTTCGAAGTGTTCGTCTTTCTTTAATGGGGCGGTTTATTGTAGTGTTCGATACAGCACACACAAAGAGTCTGTTAACTGTGGCAATATATTCTATTTGCAGCTTAGTCTAATGCATTTTAGTAAATCTTTGCCTACAGAATGACTTTTCAGTTTAAGAATTGAAGTGCATTATAAAAGGAATGAGTTAGAATTAGACTTGCTTGGAATGAATTAGAATATCATTCATTCTGCTATGTGCTAATTATTAAAGTGTTTGAGAAGAGAGTTTTCTGCTGTTTTGAGTGGCTGGTGGGTTGGTGGTGTTTTTTGTTATCTTAACAGCCAGAAGTCCTGAAGACTGCTTCTTGAAGGTTTTTACTTGTGTTTCCTGCAATTCTTGGCTGGTGTATTCCAGTTCATGGTGCAAGTGTTGGTGGGTTCTTGGTTTTGTTGGGTTTTTTAATCGTGAGATAACAATGGGTGTCTCCAGTAGATATTTGGATAATTTCCTCTCCCAGTCTGATCCCATTCAGGTTAAAGGCCCTAAACATTCTTCATTCAGTCTGTTGTAGTTTAGTAGAACCATATTCACAGTGCAGTGCAGTTCTTACCCACAAGGACTGGATCAGACTGACCAGAGTTACAGCATGATGGATGGGCTTTACAGATTGGTTCCCAGCACAGGGAGCTGCTTCATGGGGAGTTGTGTCTTTTGTTTACAGAACCTTGTAGTAATGAACAGTGTCTGTGCTAGAATGGCTGATAAACCTCTCCAAATGCCTTGCTCTGACTCTTTCCTTTATCTGTCCACAGCTTGTTCTGGTTGGAGATGGTGGCACTGGTAAAACAACATTTGTAAAGCGTCACTTGACTGGTGAATTTGAAAAGAAGTATGTAGGTATGTCTGAAGAAACCCTTGAGCTGCAGTGTCTCACAAATGTATCTCACAAAAATCCATGGCTTGCTAATTGCACTGCTTTTTGTTACTCCCTAGCAACGCTGGGTGTTGAAGTTCATCCTCTGGTGTTCCATACCAACAGAGGCCCTATTAAATTTAATGTATGGGACACAGCTGGCCAGGAGAAGTTCGGTGGCCTGCGTGATGGCTACTATATCCAAGGTAAGAGCTGTGGGGACAGTTCTGTGCTCTTGGGGCTCAGTGCTGCTCCTGCTCATGCTGGCCACGCTGTCAGTGTGGCTGCAGTGGGGAGCTGGCATGGGGCTCTCAGACTGAGCAGAGAGGATAACATCCCTGGCCAGACAAGGTGTGGGAACGTGCCAGGGTTGTGTTTCAGGGTGTCGCTGTGGGCTTTGGCATTTGGGGTGAGCAGATGGCACTGGCAGCGTTTGCTGGTTAAGGGTGAAACGTGTGCTTCTCTGAGTGCAGGCTTCTGTCTGTACTGCTGTGCTCAGGCAAGGCCTTGGACACAAACTCAACATTTTCAGTACCATGAGGAAGTTGGACACCTTCATGCCAGAGTCTGTGTTTCTGAAAAAGGGCAGTGTTCCTTCTTCTGCTTGGCAAAGATCTGTCCTGTGCTACTTCACTCACCTGCATATCTTTACTTTACACAAATAAGATACAGTATTCTTGAGTTCCTTGAGAAACTGCTCTGGACAAGGGCATCCTGAGCTGTGGACCACTGGCTCTCTCAGCCTACCTTTACGCCTTATTAGCATGTCTGAGATGAGTTCAGGAGGGGTTAACTGATTCTGCCAGGTATTTGGGTAGGTCCAGGTTGGCTCCATAGGTGCACATTCCCATATGGTGCAGTGCCACGTTCCTCGGGGATCCAGCTGAGCTGGCAAAGGCAGCACAGCTGTGAGGTGGCACAGCATGGGCCAGGTTCTGTGCACTCTGCACTGACCTTGCTAACAGAACAGGATGCTGAGAGGGAAAAGTCAATGCAGATGCTTAACCCTAATGTGGGATCTCTCTGGGTTCCTCTTCTCCATCCTGTGTTGGGAGCAAGTGCTCACACCTGGTGTAACTTGGCTTTCCTTCTCTTGCAGCTCAGTGTGCCATCATCATGTTTGATGTAACATCAAGAGTTACTTACAAGAATGTACCTAACTGGCATAGAGATCTGGTACGAGTATGTGAAAATATCCCTATAGTGTTGTGTGGCAACAAAGTGGATATTAAGGACAGAAAAGTCAAGGCAAAATCCATTGTGTTCCATAGGAAGAAGAATCTCCAGGTAAGTCAGGAGGAACCCAGTTGGTTTTGTCTTCTGAGTGCAGCTGGGCTGTGGCTGGTGAATGAGTGCTCTGCCATTACAGGCAGCCTCACATCTGCTGGCTCTTCAAACCAGAGTTCAGGGCACAGGGAGGTGATGTTAAGGGTGCTCATCCCTGGCCTGGAGCAGAAGCTGTGCCAGTTCTTCAGGAACTTGTGTGATGTGGCTGTAGCTGCTCAGTCTCATCCCTGACAGGATTGGGACCACAGTAGATCATGTCAGGAGAAAGATCCGTGCACTATTGCCTCCTGAAAGTGTTGTCCTTGGTGAGATTTGATAACCTTTCCATTAGTAGTTTATGCCTGAAACTGTTTGTTTCTACACACTTAAATCATAACTGCTGATGAATATGGAAACAAAAGCCATGCAGTCAAAAAAAAAGGAAGGTAAAAGAGTTGATTGTGTTAATCCTGATATACTCTAAATATTTCAGGGTTTCTAAAATAATGTCTAATATGTGCTTTTTTCAGTATTACGACATTTCAGCTAAGAGTAACTACAACTTTGAGAAGCCTTTCCTGTGGCTTGCTAGGAAGCTAATTGGAGATCCCAACTTGGAGTTTGTTGCCATGCCTGCGCTCGCGCCTCCTGAAGTTGTTATGGACCCAGCACTGGCAGCACAGTATGAGCAAGACTTACAGGTCAGTCGGGGGCACAGGGAGACTGCCTGGCAGCTGGTGCCACACTGGGGGCACAGACAGCTGGAGAGCAGTTCTGAACCGTGACTTCTTTGTTGCAGATCGCTCAGACCACTGCACTGCCAGATGAAGATGATGACCTGTGAGGGATGAAGCTGGAGCCCAGCGTCAGAAGTCTAGTTTTATAGGCAACTGTCCTGTGATGTTGGTGATGCAGCGTGTTTGCCACTTTATTATCTAGCTGAACAGAACATGTGCTTAATCTTTGGGATGCTGAAAGAGATGAATGGGCTTCGGAGAGTGAATGTGGCAGTTTAAAAAAAAAACAAACAAAACAAAATGAAAAAAAAAACCAAAACAAAAAACCTTCATATTTTGGACCTGCATATTTAGCTGTTTTTTGGACTGCAATTACTTCCCCTCTTGAGTTTCAAATATAAGGCTGCTGCAGTCACATCAGAGTGTTAAGTGGAAAATCTTGTTTCTGTCATTCCCATTCTTTTGTTTAGGTAATAAAGTTGTATTTCAAGTATCTCCAAGCAAGTGAACTTTCATGCGTTGTTAGGAAAACTGTTCCAAGTGTCTTCTGTCCTTCATTTGAGGGAATACTTGATTGTCTACTACTGCATTTCTCATTCTGTTTTCCTTCCTGCTTCTCATATTAAGCTCCTCTTGCTAATTCAGAGCTAACAGTTCCCCTGTCCTTTTGTGTTGGCTGCCAGAGCTGAGGGGTGAGGCGAGCTGAACTGGCAGGCAGAGGGAGCTGGTGCTGCAGGGGTGCAGGGCACAGCCTGCAGCTCTGCTCGCACACGCTGCACTTGGCTGCAGTCTCAGCTCCTTGCTGCTACCTTCAGCTCTGTTTCCAGCAGCCCCAGGCCAATGGCATCCAGGCCTGTGGACTGAGTGCAGCTGCCTTTGCATGAGCAGCAGTAGAGCTATAGCTGGTTACACCAATTCTCAGCATCTTCCAAGTCACTAACCCGAGAACAGCCGTGGTTTGAGCCAAGATGCTCTTGCCTGCCCAGTGCTATATTAGCTGGAGCCACAGTGATTTAAACATCTAGACTTTACTGTAACTGCACCAAGCTCTTAATTTGAAACTGGCTTCTTACAGCACAAATGGTGGAAAATGTCAACTTTTAACACTACCTTGTAGAGATGAGTCTTGGTCAATATTAGTACTGCTAGTAAGCAAAACTTAAGTTTAGGAATTTTTTTTTCAGTAGTGTTTTGAGTACATGAAGTCTTGAACTCTTCAGTTTTGTATTTTGGTTTCTTAATAAAGTGGAGCATTTCATTTATTCCTTTTAACTTGCATGTTTGTGTACATGAATTACTTCAATATTCAATTTTTGCTGCCTGGTAGCAGAAATGGGACTGTGATTATTGTGTAATATTGCTCTAAAGGATTCCTTTTTTAGTTCAGTTTGGGAATTCTTGGGGGATTGGGGTTTTTGGTTTGTTTTTTTTGGCTACTCAGAAGCCTTTAAGTGTTTGACTTGAAGCTCGTGGATGAAAATGAGGGATGTTGTACACTTGGTGTTTGTAAAGGGACAAACTCCCACCTAACGTTTCATTGACTTTTTGCTGCATAATCCTGCTCTAACTTCTGTTGGGCTTTTCCCTGTAGTGTTACTAATTCCTGTGCTAATTCTGGCTAATCCTGCTGGCTTGGCTGCTGCTGCTTTGCTCGGTGTGCTGTGGCAGCTTTTGTGCCTTCACGCTCTCACTTCTGGAAACAGCTGCTGGAAACCAGCGTGGAGCACTTGTGCAGTGTTGGCACATTGGAGAACAGCAGCAGCAGTTTGCAGCTGGGTTTGTATGGTTTCATCAGTGTCATCCTCACAGCTCTCCTGTCCCTGGTTCCTGCAGAGCAGCTGCACAGGGCAGGAAGTGCTGGAAGGGTGCCCCAGCCTGGGAGCTGTGCTCTAATCCTCAGTGCATCTCCCAGGCTCTGAACGGGACTGGAGTGCTCTTGCTGCTGTAAAGGAATCTTCCATTGCAACGGTTTGGGAGTGGAGCAAAGCCCACCCGCAGCATTTGCTTAGCCCTTGTTAATTGATTTTAAATAGTGCAGGTACCCTTGAATGCACGTGCAGAGTGCTCAGTTCGAGTTCCTTCTCTGTAACCATTCTAAGGAATTTCACAAGTTGGGTTTAGAGAAGGCAGCATCTGTTGTGCTGCTGTTGCAGTCAGTGCCGGGATAAACGCCTCCCTCGCCTGCCTGTGCTCGGTTTGGCTGAAGGCGGTGCTGTGCCTGCACTGGTCCTGCCGGGCCCTTCCTCACCTGGGCTCTGGCCACACTTCTGTTCTAGGCCAGGGAGACAGCAGTGCCTCGTGGTGGCTGAGGTGCTTGCTGACACTTTATCAGCAAGGACTGAAAACCACCTGTACCATAGTCATCAGCAGGAAGCTCCTCAAGGCTGGGGTGATTATAACATCTAAGAAAACTTCACCCAGTGCCCCTCCTGTGAGTGCTGAAAAGTCACTTCTGGGTCCAGGGGTGGCTTCTCTGGGAAAGAGCTCAAGGCACAGAGCTTTGTTGCATTTATAAATTAAAGGTGGGTCATAACTAACAAGGAATCTGCAAACTTTGGCATTATTGTCTTTTGGTTCTGGATCTGGTATTTTCATTTCTTACTTGTACTGCATGTTTTGTTTTATTCAAATACCTAAGTTAAGGTCTAGGTATAAAACTTATTTCGGACAAATGAGAATTCTGCCAAGTTTGTGCATGGAAGAACTGTGTGGGACAGGTCACACAGTTTTTTGGGCGGGTTTTGCCGGGCTCCAGCCAGCTGCGAGCCGTTCTCAGCTCACTGAACAGCTCGGATGGAGCTTTGGAACCTTGCGTGGAGACCGGCGGGGTGCAGAATTCATTATTGCCTTCGCCGGGATCAGCGGGTGGGACCCGCTGGGCACAGGGGCCGGTCGGGCCGGAACGAGCCCCGCTGTAACAGAGGGGATGGTCTGAGCGGATAGACCGGCTCCGGGCTGATTTCGGGCCGTTCCGTGCTGATTTTGGGCCGTTCCGGGCCATCCCGTGCTGGTTTTGGGCCGTTCCGTGCTGATTTTGGGCCGTTCCGGGCCGTTCCGTGCCGATTTTGGGCCGTTCCGGGCCGTTCCGTGCCGATTTTGGGCCGTTCCGTGCCGTTCCGTTCTTACTTGTACTGCATGTTTTGTTTTATTCAAATACCTAAGTTAAGGTCTAGGTATAAAACTTATTTCGGACAAATGAGAATTCTGCCAAGTTTGTGCATGGAAGAACTGTGTGGGACAGGTCACACAGTTTTTTGGGCGGGTTTTGCCGGGCTCCAGCCAGCTGCGAGCCGTTCTCAGCTCACTGAACAGCTCGGATGGAGCTTTGGAACCTTGCGTGGAGACCGGCGGGGTGCAGAATTCATTATTGCCTTCGCCCGGATCAGCGGGTGGGACCCCTGAGCACAGGGGCCGGGCCGGGCCGGAACGAGCCCCGCTGTAACAGAGGGGATGGTCTGAGCGGATAGACCGGCTCCGGGCTGATTTTGGGCCGTTCCGGGCCCTTCCGTGCTGATTTCGGGCCGTTCCGTGCCAATTTTGGGCCGTTCTGGGCCGTCCCGTGCCGATTTGGGGCCGTTCCGGGCCATCCCGTGCCGATTTTGGGCCGTTCCGGGCCGTTCCGCGCCGCTGCCCCGAGTCCCGCTGCAGTTCCTATTTCGGCCACGCGGTGGCGGCCGCCGCCCGCCCAGCGGCTCTCGGTCCCTTCGGAAATGGATTTTAACCTTGATTTTTACATTTCTGCGTTGATTTTTACATTTCTACATTGATTTTTACATTTCTACATTTATTTACACATTTTTAGATTTTAACCTTGATTTTACATTTCTACGTTGATTTTTACATTTCTACGTTGATTTTTACATTTTTGACATTGTTTTTTGCATTTTTGCAGGTGAAATCCGCCAGACCGAGCACTGCAGGTGGATCCTTCATCCTAATGCTGCTAGCACAGCAAAGCGCAGGCACCGCCGTCATCCTTCCCACAATCCATCACATTTGTGTTGGAGAACTGTTAAAATCAGAGCCCATTACAGGAAGACAGCCAACACATTGATAACTGACATTGAACTAAAGCATGGCTTCACCTGGGGAAAAAGTAATCCATTAATTGCTGACCAGCTAATGTTACAAACAAAAAAAAGTGTTGAGGAAAGAGCAATGGCCAAACCTAGCACAGCTCTGTCATGGCAGTCCTGGGCTGATCCTGTAGTGAAGTTTGCTGTGAGCAGCAAAATGAGCAGAAAGCTTGGAGGGTGGGTGTCCTGAGCATTAGAGGTGCCCCAGCTCTGGAGCTGGGCTGCCTGGAGGAGCAGCTCTGTGATGGTTTTCTCTGCCAGCCTTAAAAACAGCGGGGACCTTGAGCAAAGGTGAGGGATAAACAGCATTTGGGCTCGCAGGATGTTCTGTGTTGCAGTTTGAAAGGCTTTCAGCCCGGGGCTCCTTTTCCTGTGGCCAGGTCGGGGATTCTTTCAGCTGAGCTGAGCTGTGCCGTGCCCTTTGAGGCTCTGAGCTGTGCCAGTGCCCTTTGAGGCTCTGAGCTGTGTGAGCTGTGCCCCTGTGCCTGAGCTGTGCTGGCCTGGCAGCTCCAGCAGGCACAGCAGGTGTCACTGGTGGAGAGAACAATGCTGTCTGCTTTGGTTCATCCCCTTTCCAGCCTTATTTCTGTTTAATTTCCATCCGTGGAGTGGATGGGGGCTCCTGGTGGTTCACTACCAGCAGAGGATTAATGGTTTTATTCTCTCTGAGCAAAAAATCCTGCTCCTAAATACATGGCATGTGTCCCTGGCTGTTGCAAATCTGACATGCTGAGCTCTGTAATGCCATTTCCACAGGTGCTGGCCTGGCTACAGAACCGTTTCTCCCGTATTTAACCCTACAGACTGATGTGCTGGGTATTCCTGGGTGTTTCCATCCCCTGCTCTTCATCCCAGCTGACTTTGCACATGCTAAAAAGTCTTAGAGCCCAGAAGGGAAACACTTATCTCTCGAAAAATCAGAATTTCTAACTAAGTGAAAGGGATATGAATCAGGTTGCACCAATCATCTCTAGCTGCAGTGACATCTGCAAGTGACATTTCTCTAAGGAGCCTGTGAAAATCACTGGGAGATTGACAAATCCTCCAGAAAAAGAAAGGGGGATTTCTTTGATCTCCATATCATATCCATTTTCATAGCCAAAATCACATTTTGAATGCTTGATTTTATTCCAGTTTACTTTCCTGCAGAGTGCATGAAGAACAATGGCAGATACAAATGGGATTTTTTTTCCTTTAATTTATTGTTTTGAAAAGATGTTTTTAGGCAGTTCCCTGATTGCAGGGTGTGACTCCAGGATCTTTGGGGTGCCTGTTCCAGCTGACAGATGTGAGTGATTATTCGGATTATGGAGCACTGCAGAGAGAGGCTCAGAGCAGGACGCAGGGCTGAGAGAGGCCATGGGGAGGATTTGTGCTGCCTTTGGCTCAGGGCTCAGCACCTGAACTGGAATTGTTCTGGAATCCACTTGCCGTGCCTTTGAATTAGTT